ACAAAGTACAGRAGATTTTGTCTGCATTGGCACTCGAACAAGATTTGTGATTTAGCGATTTTTTTATCTGTATATATCATGTCATTTTTTTTCAAGCCTGGGTGTTCTTGAATAAAGGAAAAGCTACTCCCGATTAAGGCACAACACCAGAGTTGTTGTTGAAGAAGTTTCTAAAATACTTTCCAATAATCCTCCTAAAGATAAATTTACTCGTGACAACTCAGTAAGAGTTGCTWAGGCTTTTAAGTCAGACTATTTGGCATCAAGCAAAAATGAGAAAACAAATTAGTAAGGTTGTACCCCACCATTATCCCCTACTGGCTGATTGTTATCCCATGGCCAACCCATAGGAMATCGTACATGGTCAGTATAAAAGTCAAAAAAGTCATTTCATTAATCAAAGAAGGGTGTGTTAAGTACTTTCAAAATTCATGGTGCATCAAGTATTCCTCAGATCCAAAAATAAAATGGGTTCTATCTTCATATCATGTTTTTTTCTTCAAATTTTGGTTTCCTCCACGGTTACATTGGAACTTCTTCTTTTTGGATTAGTGCAGCTTAAAGTTAAGAGGAGGCTTCCAATAAATTTGAATAGAAAATGGTATTGCAAAGTAAGCGTGATGTGTACGTACACATGTATATCACAACCGAAGACCTAAAAAAATGACAAACTGTGGGTGTCTGTCTTTGTGGGTGGATCGTGAGATAACCTTAACATTTTACCCCTCTTTTCAGCGTTATTTTGACATAAAAATTCCCTGATTTTCTGGTAGTTCAAAACTGAATTGGGGTACCTCAGGTCTTGACTTTTAATTCGTAAAATTAACTATCCGGAGTGTTGAATCTTTGAGTACTCCAAGATGTATGMCATAACTGCACAGTTAGAACATCTCAACAGTCTCACAGCTCTTACTACGGACTACAGGAGTAGTTAAGAAGGGTTACTTAGTTCAAAATAAATACGTATTTTTCCAAGTTCATCAGGATTTAAACTGTGATAAGTGACCTTAAGCCTTAGCAATGCCTTCACGTAAGAACAGAGGAAAATCCCTAAGAGTAATTAGAGTGCCTGTCAGGGGCTTTGTCTTTTAAAAGACGAATGTTGTGTTTAGAACAAAGATTAAAATCAATTCTTTTGAMTTCTTGATCTCTAAAAACCTATGCTTGTAACGTTTTAGAATAGCTGATATGAAAGTTGTAAACTGAACAAGAAACTAAAACTCTGTATATCAGACTAACTGACAGGAATCCAAAATGGCTGCGGTTGATTTTGTAAGCTGCTTGACCGTTTGCATCTTCTGTTTTACGTTAAAAGCACAACTAAAAACAACGAAATATCTTTGTTGCTTCAGTATGTGTCGAGAGCACAAGAGGAGTTTTGATACAGCTCAGTACACGCATACAAATAAATTATTTTTGTAAACTGTCACTGGTATAATCCGGTATAATATGGCAAGGGCCTTACCATAAAGTTTAACACTGTTACTGACTTCTTTTATGAACTCAAATAGATTATTTTAGAGGACGCCAAAAATCGATGGATATCGTTTTGTTTGTTACTGAAGAACCAAGTGTCAAGGAAAGATCAGAAAAAGAACYTTTACGCGCTATACGATTTGGGATTAGCGCAAGGAGATAGCCAAAGCTGGCTAAGCAAGATTGACAAGTAATGCCCCATCCAACCCAACGACTTCATAACCATTGTGGCTTTTATCGATATAAATAAACGAAGAAAATATAAAGATGTGTTTTTAGCAAAWTGTTATGGGATGTTTTATCTGGAATCTAACAGCATGATGCGATGTTCTTTTTCTATCAGTTAGCAAGTCCAAAAGCATGAAAGTGACTGATGAGAAAGTTTGCTGGAGCCAATAACATAGGAGCATTTGGATGTCAGTTTGACATTAGCAATAGTGATTTGGTGGATTAGCGTTTCCTGCTTTAAGGAGGTTTTCTGATGTAAAACCCATCTTTATCATAGATTGTCGCGACAGTCTACCTTACATGCTAGCAGCTCTGGCGACGATACAATTGCAACAAGTCTCATAGTATTGTGCCCCAGACTAGTACGGTAAACAATATAGCATTGTGTGCGTTGATGTTTAGGGTCGTAATCCGTTGGCCACAATTGTTTACTCTGAAAACTACCACGCCTTTACTCCACTTTAATTCTCTCTCTCTCTCTCTCTCTCTCTCTCTCTCTCTCTCTCTCTCCTGGATTCTAGAGTTCTTAAAGAAGGCAATGTTTTGGAAGTTTTTTTGGATTATATTTGACACTGAGATAATAGCAGAGGACTTGTATATAATCTTTATAGTTGTAATCCAGCTATATCCACCTAATTCGACTTTGAGCCCTTTATCAATTTAAAAAAGGTTTCCAAGCCTCTGGAAATTATATTATAAGGTCAATTGAGCATCTTTTATTTCTCTGCAAGTGACATTAGGATGGAGAAGAAGTTCAAGAAAATAACGTATATGTGTTTTATGCTCTAGATCTTTCGGAATGTATTGTAATGGGATAGCGTTCTGGAATGCGTGCGAAAAAAAAAAAACGTGCAAGAAATACGTCCCTTGAAACACACACATATACACAAACACTAAAAGCCTGAGTACATGACAGCATCACTCGAGAAATGTTAAAATTGTTTGGAACAGATAAGAGTAGATCAAGACATTCTTAACATGRACAAACCATCCTGCTTGTCAGCTTAGCATTGATATAAATATCACTAGTTGTGTTTAGGGCCAGCCAGACCTCGTGTTCAAAATACAGGAAGCAAGACTGACACTTTTTGGCTATCATCCTATTCAGGTATTATCCATAATGTACCCGGGAAAATGACAAGATGGATTGGTACAATTACGACCAGATTTGTGGATCTTACACTCCAAAAATCATTACTAATCTGACAACCTGTCAAAGGGGCTGATAAGCGCAGAAATAATCAATTTATAAAGATTAAAAAATCGCGTCTCTTAATTATTTTTCCTAAAGCCATGCCAATTATATAGTAACCAAAAAGAAGTTTCTCAAATCGAAATGAATTCTTTAGCTTTGGGTGTAGCCGAACAGTACTATAGCATCTGCAGTGGCCCTGCATGAATAAGGTCCAGGCAAAATCATAATTCAAGATTCACCGGACTTTACACCGGACACAGTCCTCCATGTGCTTTGGGAATTAGAAGTTTTGCTCTCACGCGTAACCTTGTTAGAAAGTGTTGACAAAAGAAAGATTTATAAGCTCCTTAGCGATTTGCAGTTTTGAGTATTTCAAAACACTGACTAACGTATTTTCTACTTTAATGTAAGCTATAACGTAWAATCAGTGAAAATTGAATCAAAGTAGCGAAACGGTTATATTTTCTTGTGTCTCACTCATATATAGACTTATGAAAATGTATGTCAAAAAAGCAATTTTTAATTTTCTTCAATAACTGCAGGTTTCATTTGTCAAATTTTATGCATGGCAAGTCATTTAACTTACTGAGGGATTTGGATCAGTGAATGCTAGGGTAAAGATACACTTTTGCCATCTCAACTAAATATCTAATACTCACATCTTGTTTGAAAAATGTTTCGTGAGTCCATGCTACAAGGCCGGACGGAAAAAGAGGGTACGTATATTGACCCTTAGCTTGGATGCTCTCATCATCATGAACCGAAACTTTTGTTGAATGTATTATCCTATAAATGACTTTGAAATTGTGCAATATTTGTACTCACAAATCAGGTTGTGATTTTCTTTAGTTCATAAAGCATAATTATCAAATAACTAAGACCTTTCACTCATCATTTAATGCACRATGTAATTAGAAGCATTAAAGGTGAAAATTTCGTTGGAAACTGAAAGTGTRAAAGCTCATTTTTTTGCTTTCAAAGCGTGGAAATATTTACGAATGTTTGGCAAAAAAAATATTTGTTTTAAAATGTATTATATCTGCATTGATTCTTTCATTTTGGAAAGTTCTTAGAAAACTAATGRTTGATAATATGGAACTTCTCATATTTCTGTCCAATGTGATATAGAAAAATCGTGAAAATATTGATATGTGACATGCAATATCACCTCACATTGCATTTTCGGGACTTTAACACTTCATGTCTGAGCAGATCCTACTTTTTCACAAAACATGAAACATTGCTTGATTTTTCGCCAAAGGTACGGCTTACATTTCATTACGTACATGCTTTAAACAAAACCAAAGGACAACTAGTGATCTTAAATTCAGCTGTAACAACGTCATATACGG